ATGTAATTTTATTTCAAATCACTATTTCCATTCGGGCTACTGATTTCATATCTGTTCATATTTTATATCATTTATACAACACAATACATGAGGTTGGCTATACTTACATATGTATTTATTTAATCACGTTTTGTTGGTACTTACTGAATTCGAAAACCGGTGTGATCAAGTCGAGTCAAGTGTCAAGTGTGGTGTGAACGTGCGAGAATTATTGAATGCATCACATGCTTTTATGATCAGATAGTGTTGATTTGTTAGATATTTCAGAGCCCATAGTTAAAAATGGATACAATAAACAATAGCACGGACAGTTTGGAACGATCAATTCAAATGTTTAATCAAGAGAACGCTCAACGAAAATCATTTTTGAGGTTAAGTGGGAAAAGTACAACTCCGAGAAGAATATCCTTACAGAATGCCAATAATTTACGAAAAGACTTAGATGACTCTTATCAAATGAATGGCAGTAACAGTTCTAGAATGCTAGCCAAAAATTTTCCCAATTCAAGGTTGATGAAAGGCTACAGTCTTTTGGATGTGGACAATTCATTAACACTTGCTCCTCACGAAGTTCGAGATATAATGGCTGCTTCAGAAAAGGGTGAACTTACTCTAAAAGAAATGATGGATGACAGTAGTGCTACTGGCATAATTTTAAAATCCAAGGATCCATGGAGAGATGTCATGTCTAAACTTTATTATGATTTCCTTCACACTATGCAGATCAATTTTTCAGAAGCCCAAGTGTTTGATACTATAGCAGATTTTATACAGAATTGTACAGATACATTAGATATTATGAGAGGTATATACATGGGAGTTTTAGTTTGAACATTTAGTTTGATCCTGAATTCTGAAAACAATTATGAATTTCTTATCACTTAGGTATGCAATCAAAAGTAGAAACTACTGAAGTATCAGAAGAAGAAATTTCATTGGAGAATGAGAGAAACACTTGGAGGCTTATCTATTGTTTGTACCAAAATAGGATAAACAGTCTTAATTTTTCTACTCAATTAATGGAGAAGGATAACTCGGAAGACAGCATTACTTATGTCTCAGAGAAAGTTGTAATGGAAAACCTTTTTAACACTGAAAGTTATATCAGAGAGTACCAGTTGATAATTGACTGGCTGGAAAAAAATGCACTGGATCAAGCAGATAAATACCCAACTACTGAGCATTTCACTGATAAGACATTGGCATGGGAAAATACTGTAAGACAGTTACTCACTTGCAAGGACAAAGAGCAAATTCCATTTCATTCGTCTAGGCCATTAGTATCGTCTCTAGATCCAGATGCTCCAATAAGAGAAGGAAAACCTCTTCATGATTTGGACAGAGAAGACGATACTAGACTCGAAAAAAGAATGTTTATAGAAGTAAGAGCTGTTTTGATGAAAAATTATATGAAAAGAAGAAAAGAGTACAAGAAACGTATTTAATTTACGTGTTCAATAGGTTCGCTGTGGTCGCCTTCAGAAAGCGCAGGCATTAGCTGAACATTGTGGTCAACCTTGGAGAGCTGCTTGTTTATTAGGATGGATACTGCATCATGATCCCAATTATGAAAATTCTCGATCTAATATGAAATTACCCATTGAGGGAAATCCAAGTAGAAGTCTTTGGAAATTATGCGCTTGGGAACTTTCACAAGATAAACGCGTAGGTAATAGTTACTTTTTATTATTTTCAACAGCTGTTCCTAGATTCATCCTACTTTTTAAAACAAGTTTTCCGGGCATTTAGGTCAATTTTATCGCGCTATTTATGCCAGTCTTTGCGGAAATGTTCAACAAATGCTACAAGTAGCATCTTCCTGGCAAGACGCACTATGGGGTTATATGAAAATGTTGTTGGACATCAAAGTAGAAAGGGAAATAAGAGATTTGGTGATAAAAGGATTTACCAACATGCCAGACGAGTATTGGAAGAATGAGATTTCATTGAAGGATGTGTTCAAGGAACTTCACGCATCGAAAAATCCTATTATTCGTACTCAATCAAGAGAGCCCGATCATCTGATTCAAAAGTACTTAATATTAGACCAAATACCGAAACTGATGGAGGAGATAGAGAATATGATAGATACGAATAGTTGCGATCCACAATTCTTGCGGTTCTTAGCACACCTAATATTTTTCTTTCGTCAAATAGGAAAAAATACGAAAGATAAAGTCGGGGATAAAGTTTTGTTAGCGTACGTTCGTGTTCTTATCGGAATGGACGATCCGATTTTAATTGCCTTTTATACAGCTATGTTGCCTCAAGAATTGCAAGTAACAAACTATGCGAGTTATTTGGAGAGGATAAAAGATTACGAACAACGTAAAAAGTGTTTGACTGCGGCAGAAGATGCCAATCTAAATGTGGAAGCTATTACAAAATTGGTGGTGGAAAGTATACGCTCTAAAAGGATGGATATGGATCCCACGGATTTGAAAGGCACTCTGACCGATGCCGACATGGAAAAGATTAACGCATTGGATTGGCTAATATTTTATCAGAGTCAGCGAGAGGAAGCGTTGTGGCAAACTAATGCCCTTATAAGATATTTCTTGACAAACGAAAAGATAGATGCTGCCCGTAAAGCTTTTAACAAGGTATGGTACTAAAGGCTCGTAACGTTCCTTATTGGTGGCCATTGTCACATATTTTCGGTAATTGTTTTAGATTCCATTAGATTGTATCGAATGCGTTATGGCCGAGTATCCAACCATGGAAGGTACTCTAACGAATCTTACGATGATGAACATCTCAAAAAGAGCATCATCCGCTATTCGAGAATATCTTTGTTACAAGACTTACCTTGACGCCCAGGAAGGCTTCGCCGAATGGTTTTCTCATTACCATCATGGCAAACCCACGCCTTTAGAGGACTTACCGTCATACGCCACGTTCACAGAAAAGGTTGCGTACGAGCATAAAATGGCTCAATATAATGCTGAAATGGAAAGATGGAAGTCCACGATGCAACATCACACGAAGGTAACATTTTTCAGAATTTCAATACGAGACGGAAACATATACGAAACTGTTTTGTAGGCAGTGAAGCAGTTACTGTTCAATGTGTTATTGTTTCCGGATGGCGGTTGGTTGGTTGACTCGAACAATAACGACAGCGACGAGCCGCACGCGGATGATTTGTCGCGTGAACATCAAATGGAAAAATTACGCGAATTCTGTATTCCAAAGATCACGCTTCTCTTGCATTCCGTGATGTCGGAAATGAATGAGCACGCCGAATGTATTCAATTGGCCGACATACTTGCTTCCGAACAATATCAACTTTACAAAGTATGTAGTTATAATGCAATTAAGCGGACTGAGAATAAGAGACCGATATAATTCCGTTTATTACAGGTATTCCAGAAGGGAAGATTGCGTGAGGTATTTAAGAAGATCTGTGAGTCTTCTCTTGTACTGATGGATCAAAAGAAAGATCCTTGGGGCTATCCGAAATAAAGCGTTCTGTAAAATATTAAATAATAAAATTAACGTCTATGTTTTTTATAAAACCAGTTTATTGTCAACCACAAGAAGTGAATATAAAATTTGATACAATGTTCAATAATTCATAATCATAATATATTATATATCTCATGATTACTTAGATGCTCCTTTCTTTTACCCAATTGTTCAATAAACATAGCGCTGTCAAAGCTGTAGATTTTAACGCGTGAAACATTACGGAAAAACTCAGGGACAATGAAGGAGATTCACATTATCCTGAGATTGTTCTTTATCTTTTTTCATTCGAATCAATTCGATATCATCGCGTACCTCCACGATCCCCTTTTTTCATATCATTAGTTTAGCCACCTCTAAATCTCATGATTAGAAATAGTTGGTATCCGGCGGACATAGATCTGCATACAACGCGAATAAATACATAGAAATTGTGTTTATTTATGCGCGGAATTTACAAACAAAATTTTCTTAAAAAGATCTACGCATCGAATGAAACAGAAAAGAGAATAACACAGAGAACGAACGTGCTCATTTGTAATTTCTAATCTACTTTCCATAGGATATTGATGCTTTTTGCCGGTAAGAGCAGTCTTTTTATATATTGTTTATCTTTTTTTCGGAGAGAACATTTTCTTCTCTCTGCGTGGCTTGCTTTATGCGCATATTTGATTCCTTTTCCTCGTTAAAAGAAATTGATCAGTACTAATATATTATGTAATGAAAATGAATCGCAAATTCACATGACGCTGACATTCTTTAATCAGTAGATCTATTACGCTTCCGCAGATTGTTTATATATGTAACGAATCGTAAATGAATTAACAATTAGGAAAATATACGTACATATATCACGGAATAATTGACGACCATAATATATGTAGATATTTTGCTCGATATTCATCCAAATTAAGTTCATTTCGTGTTTCAGTGTTCTTAGTTATTACAGAATTTCGTGACGTCAATTATTATGGACAGTTACCGAATTTATTAGCTGTATTTAATTTTGATAGTCAAATAAAATTGAACAATCTTGTACTGCAAGTATTATATTCATACAATATGTTTCGTGTTTCGCAGATCTTCGAACTCATTTCAGAAAACTACAATGCATTCATCAACAATAAGTTAAATCAATAATCGTCAAGGGAACAATCTTGCAATTGTGATTCTAAAGGGAGATCTAATTATGTCAATACGACGGGTGAAAGACAACAGTTGTAGCTTGGTGAAACAAGTTTTCTGAGCATTGATATCCTTAGATTAGAGAGTATCTGTGTGTTTCTCTTCGTTCGAAGTACATGAGTCTCTTTGTGTATAATCAATCGATCGATCTGATAACGAGCAAGATTCGGAAATAGACGAGAAAAGTGGAAAATAAATTTTGACGCGTGCAACATTATACACATACACGGCTTAAAACGTACTATGTATATTGCATCGAAACATCGAAATTCAAACTCGTATACATCTTGTATGCAGCTAGTAGGCTCACAATCTTTATTTTTTAATCAGAGCGATTTACTTTCGTCATTCACGATGACCAGAAATTTCCAGACACGTGCGATTATATCTCTCGGTACTTGATACACTTTAATAGAATCGATTGCTTTAAAATATTAATCAGGCGTGTTTATTCTAGGATTAAAACTATCTTAATACTTTCATTCTTTTCCTTGTTAATAACGCAAAGATAAAGTGTAAAATCGATATGTCTGAAAATCATGTTCGCACGTGTCTCGTAAAAACACGATGAGATGAGGATCTTGACAAATTGAATCAACTTTATAGTAATACGAGTACACGATTAATAGTAGATCTTACTTTGTGGATTAATCTATTCTAACACGTAAACGTTGAAAATAACGGTTGACAATTGTCTTTACCATTCTCGATAATGCTACGTTATTTTTTTATTTTTTCTTTTTTGGTTTACGTGAGAGCTTGATAAATTTGCCGAAAAACTTTGAGAATTACGATTGGTTATCGTTTTCTTTTCCCTTCTCATATCCCTTGGATAAAGTATGTATGTACGTAGTTTTATCGAAATTTATTCTCTTTCATTTGTCTTCGTTTAAGGTTGACGAACTAAGTTATTATCTACAACAGGACGTACTAATTACTAAATGGTTGTATGTCGAGATATGGTTGCGTGTTCGAGAACGACTTATCTACAGATAATTGAAAATGAATCATCTCACGAATTGCTTTTTATTCTCTTTTTCCTTCAATCCGTTCATGGTGATCGCGGTGACTCTGATGGATCGCAATCGATGCGACTTGAAACCCATAGAGAAAATAAAAACTTTTCGCACTCGTGCGCGTCTGATCATTAACGAGCTATAGCATACTACTACTGAGAGTTTAAATTGAAATCCGGTTTCCCAAGACTTTAATCTTCCTCGACGATTAACTATTACAACACACGTCACCATAACGATACTCGTTGCTCAAAAATAGATCCTTAAAATTTGTTAAACACAACTCAGGACGGTCTATACCAACAAATCAATTCACATCATACCGCTCTGTGTATCATTTTCATACAATATTATTGCACTCGCGATAAAGAAATGTTCTTTTCGTTTCGCATTTATTCCCTTCGTTTCATCCTTTAATTCTTCAGCACAGATCCAGAAACTTTTCGTTTAAAAACGATTTCAAAATATTTTGAGTTATTGAGTTTGTTTCAATCGAATTTTGAAATTATTTCAGTTTTTCGAAGACTAAATCGAGTGCTTGAAAACTGTTTCTAGATCTGTAATAGACATTACCTACATGGGGATAGGCTCATCGTAATTAGCGTAGAAAGAGGAAGAGTGCAAAGAGCTGAAGCATCGATACATCGTTTCTCATTTCATTTTTTTCTCTCACTCTCTACGCCGTGTTCTTAAGTGTGAAAATATATTCTACCATGAGCATAAGATTCAGAAAGATATCCAATTTTCAAAAGCCTTCACGTTACCGCTACGATATATGAACATACACGTATCGTTAAAACAAGATCTTCGTCGTTACATACATATTGACAATATTACACATCCGTTCGATTAATCGACATCATTAAAATCGTTAGTTAGATGTTGATGCTCTTTAATTGTTACCATTATGATTTTTATTTATCACTTTTCGCTGTTTCCTCTCTTGAACCATGATTTTTGCACGATAATCGTAAAAACGATTATCTTCACTTTCTTTTTTATTTGTACTCGATGTTCCGCAATGTTTCTCAGACGGCTTTTCGGGGAAAACCAGAGACACGGACGCCGATCTCGAGGACGTTCGACAATTTCCACATCTGACATTTGTTAAATATCTAAATTTTAAAAGAGAGTCCATTTTCCATTGTCAAACCAGACACTGATAAAGAACGCTTTCGTCTGTGTTTTAAACCTTATCTACGTATTATATGGGGATATGTTCGCAGGGATATGTGAGCGGGTTCACACAATGAAAACACAGTTACAACCGAAAGGATTGTGCAAGGAGAAGTATTCTTACAATTATTTAAACTATATCCGAATTGAGCGCCAACAAGATAGGACCACATTCTTTAATAGATTTAATCTTGATTTTCATTCTTCGCTTAAGAGGTGCGTTTAGATTATGGTGGAAATACATAAGGTGTGCTATTACGCAGCTAATTAAGGTCGTTGCTTTCTTTGTAATGGCCACATTGCCTTATTCATCAATTGTATTTCGTATTGAAAGTGAAAATTAACTTTAACTTAAAATGTCTACATTACAAATAGATTAGCATTTCTGTCGCTTTTATTTTTTAAAATGATAGATATCCATTATGCGCAATAGATGACGAAACTGGTACCATCGGAAGAATACACCTTATGTGTTTCTACCATGGTTTAGATTTTAGATGTTCGAATTTGAACCTGAACGAACATGAATTTTTCTTGTTGCTTTTGTTTTTACTCGTTTGGTCTAAAGGCACCTCGAGTTTCTCGAGTCGATCGAGTTTTGGCTTCGTCGATTTCTACGAGAGAATCGGCGCGTATGAAAGAAAAAAGATTTCGTAAATGACGAGTAAAACGTTATGTAGACTACGATATGAGCGACACAAAATGTAAACGCTATAAAGGTAATCGCTGTCTGTTCGATATTCACCCCTATCGGGGCTTCGTCGTACACCGAAGCGAGACCAACATTTCTCTCTTAATCGATGACGACACAATCGTTACCCCCTCGCACGTTTCTTCTTTTTCCCTTTTTGTTACTTTTACAAATTACATTTTGATATAATGTACAAAGAAAAAGTCTTTCCTTAATGTCTAAAATTATGAATTGTTCCTTAAACTCTAATAACTTGAAGGACATCGCGGGGCTGCTTCGAGAAAATTCGAACGGATATTATTTTTACTTATATGTTACTACTCTAAGAATTGAAAATTTGGCAGAATAACAATCGAAAGCAGAAAAGAGAGGATGGAATGGACTTGACATGTACAAAAGAGAGGGAAGGAAAATTAGGGGAGACGATAATTTTCTAAAAAGAGTACATCTTTACATCCTTATCTAAAAGACTTTCGTTCATTCTCTACACCCGTTTACAATTAACAGCATAACATCGGCGTAGCAATTAGCAATGCGCCGTTTTTTAATACTTTTATCTTCGTATGTACACTTACATCTCAATTAATTGATCCATATAAACACACAACCGGCCAAAGATTTGGAACCACTTCTTGTTCTTATTTACAATTTCTTAACGAACTTCAGATTGGTATCGCGTAAACTAATAGGAGAGCCTTTATTCTTATAGATTTTTCAATGAAATGTTTCTTAAAATAACATAATTGTCCGTTTTTCTCAGAGCACCTATTTCGTACAATTTGTGGTGATTACGTTGTAAGCTTGGCCGACGGCGTGCGTGTTTTTTGTTTCCTAACAATTATTGTTGATCCGCGACAGAGCGTATCCTCCTGATATCGTTGTTATTGTCTCAATCATAAACGTTATTGTCCGATTTAAGCGGCCGATCGTCGACATTTGTACCTAAGGAGATCGAGCGCGGTTTATTGTCCGAATTTCAAAATCGAGAACAGCGAAAGCGCATCCATGAATATTGCCCAAATGTAATTTTGGACACGTTTCACAGCCCCCGCCACAAAATATAGAACTCTTACGATTCGATCGCGATTATTGTCCAAGTAACTTTGTCGGACGAGATCGACCTTCTGTTATTATTGTCTCTCGAGGGGAAACTTGAAATCGCGGGATCAACATTTTTCGACAAAGTGTCAAATCGTTTCGCATTTCCTTGACTAATTTTATACAAAAACTAGGTTCGAATCCTCGTAGCAGCACCCTAAATTTTCGATCCAGCAAGCCTCTATACGTATTTATTATTGTCGTTCACAGAAGTAGGAGTTTTATATCCGCTTACATACTACGATCCGCCCCGTTCTCTCGAAGGACTCGCTTAGAAAATACAATCTGCAATAATAAAAGTGGAAACCAGATGGGGACAGGAAAATGCATGTTTTTAAACTAGAGAAATTAAGGATCACTATTGAATGTCACCCGAAATACATGTTTTTGATTCAGGCGTGACGTGAACGTCCGAGCGAATCTTCGCCTTCTTATTGTCGCTTGATTAACATTACAAACGCAGCACGCAAGTACTTAAACATCTGTTTCTTGTCACGTGAAAGCCGGAGCAACATCATTCAACGTATTCGTCGTTTGTGAACTACAGATTTTTGTACAAAATAAATTCTGCATTGAAGTCACGTTGAATAAAGATTTGTTTATCTTTTTAACAAGTCATATCTTCATACAAGACGTTTTAAGTGTTTCATATTTACGCGCATATTGCACATTTAAATTTCCTATACACATATGCATCGTAATACATCCGATTGGTTATTCATTTGCATAAAATATTTTGTAAAGGACAGACTCCATTTCGATATTTAGTTAATTTTCATTATCAAGTGGTTAGTGGTTTCGATAGATTAACGAATACGTTAGACAACGATGACGGCTGAATGACGTAAATTTTTTGAATTTCGTTTTACATTATGCATATAAGTACTTCATTTAATGTATGTATGTTAATATAATATATATATATATATATTTATGTATATATATATATCAAGATTATGTTAAGTAATGTATGCGCATATAATTAAATACAGACTGGTCTTCGTGCGATAAAAGCAATCGGAGTTGCAAAGAATTTCGTTCGCTGATAGTTAATTTTGAGGACACCCCGTTACTTAGAATCTGGATACATCAGTGAAGTTCATTCACATTTTCCATTAAAAGAGAGAATAGATAGATAGAGAGAAATTTCTTTTTACTACCTTGTTAATCTCTACGATTCTAAAGTGATTATGTATTTTTCTGACATTTTGGTCGTATACGCGACTTTTCATTTCTTGCACGTATCGCGCTAATGTGTATTTCATTTTTCATTGGGCACCTCATTGAATTTCGTCGTTTCGCATGATATATCTTTTTGACAAAATGTCCAAAGATACCATTACTTTCCAATGGACACGAATTACGTACATATGATACGTTCAACGCGCAAGAACCCAGCTCCTAAGTACTACAGGGTATCTCTTGTCCGAGTGGTTCCTAATTCGAATAATTAGAGAAGCTTTAATTAATCTGTACCCAAGGCACATTTTACACTTTCATTCCGTTTTTTGTTCTTAGGAAGGTCCACTCTATAGTATGTACATGTTATAGCATTGTTACACATATAAGGGAAATAGTTTGTAACCGTATCATCCATTTATATTGAATTACATAAATGGTATCTGACACCGTTACCCTTGTACATTATATTTTTCTGATTTTCTCCTTCTCCCAGCAATTATTTCTTCGCCGTTCCGCTACTCTACGTATTATTGTCAGGTCGACAGCATTTTATAAATGTATACCTTAAGTACTACTCGATCTTTTAATGTTACATTATATTCAACTATAGCTTTGTGCAAAATTTACATTGTACATATGCCACGGATAATTTCCCCGTTTCATTCGTTTATTGATAGATCGATCGATCTTCATTTGACCAAATTATCCCTACAACAACTCCTCCCACCCATTCTCAACGATAAGCAATACGTTCGTTTGATGTTATTGTCAAAGCATTATTTATGTTCTTACATCCCACATCCCCACGTAATTATTATTTATTGTCAGAAATTATACCAACCCCCCTTCCCCCCATCTGTCCATTCCCATAAGTAGTCTCTTAAATTCTTAGACGTTAAAAATCACCCCGATCGTCTCGGTTCATTTCGTGTGCCGTGTTTCAATGTGTTTGTGTATGGATGTATATAATATATATACATTTATATGTATCTGTATATATATAAATATACACATACATATATATCGTATAATATGAAATATTGAATCTGATAGATCTTAAAAATATCTTCGCTAATCTTTTACGTTTTACGAGTAAATTTTATGAGCTAAGTACTTTCTTACAACCTTGTATCGTGTTCAGCCGATTATTGATAATAATCGAATTTTATTTTTGTTTTTTTTTTTTTAATTATTTTATCACCGTTGTTAGTTTTTTTCTTTTACGGAAATTTATAATTTTCCTTGCCCACTTTCATCCCTTACTTTCGATCCGATCACACTGTCGCTGGATTCATTACAATTACATCTCGCGTATGTTTTGGGTAGACGATATTGAAAAGGATTAATTCATCTTATGAACGTTATCATACCGATGACGAACATCGCTGTGACCATTGACAGCAACGGCAATGCCGCTTGTGCGCTGTTGACAACGTTTATCTTCCAGCCCAAATGATTGTGCACGTAACACTGTATGAAAAGAAAATACTTTATACTGAACACATTTACGCTATTATCTTTGATCAATTCCCGGTTAAAAATTGGAAAAATAATCAATTTTGTTTTCAGTCGAGGTAAAAAAAAGACGATCGATAGTTAATCCTGGTGACTGCGGATTTTATGCATTTACGAGATTAAATATGTAGGAATATGAACGCTGTATGTAATATATAATAATAAAACTATACAAAATATCAGTAGCTGACGGCATATTAAAGTACTTAAATGATAGAAGAAATTTCTGTGTAAAATACGTTCTTTAAATTAATAATTATATTAATAATTTGTTTTGCATATAAATTCGCACTTATCATTCTCGTTATCACTTTTATTACTTCTTGTATTATTTCTTACCTGATAATAGACCAAATCCGGGGTGTCTTCGGCCACGGTCCAGACGAGTTTTGCTGGCTCTCCTTTGTCGCACTCCAGTCTGAGGGTCTCGAAGTAGTTTTCGAACGTTTCCATGTCCGCGCTCATATCCACCGTCTTGTGTACCCACTCACAGTAACGGCCAGCTGCCGTTGGATAAGGATAGCCCTCGGCGTTGTATTTTACTCCAGCATATACTCTTTGAGCCATTTGCTCTTCCTCTTTTTTCTGACCGAATCCACCTTCTAGGCTGTCGGTGATGTAAAACGGATGATACCTGAAAAACGCATATTCCCGCATTTTACGCTAGGTATTTAATCGATATTTTTAGTTGGAAATTCGAAGTTTTATGGTATTATTAAAACGAGAGTGTACGGTAATATTCTGATAATTATTTTCAAAACGGACAGATTTTTAAATGAAAAAATTATAGAACTTTATGTTTAATCACACAGATATGCCTACACTGAATACGAAATAAAATTGTTATTTAACTAGATTGCAAGTTTCGCGTAATTATCGAACGTCGAACGGCGCATGACGAATTAAACTGTTAATATACACAGTTGAAAATGTCAACTTGCCTGGCCGGATTAGCTGGATCGTTACCGCCCTCCACAATGAACGTATACGTCTGTCCTCTTTCCACCGTGATTTCCGGAATCAGCAGATCGTTGATGTACCACGCAATTCCCCATGCAGGTTGTCCTGCGTTTTAATTATGAAATTACACTTACATTATGAAAAGTTTGTGTAAATAAATATAAAAAGATAAAATTGAAAAGAATTAACAGAAAAAGAAGTGTTCGATAATTGCTTCGAAAGACTTGCATTTTTATACAAATAAGTTAGTAGATTTGGAGACAATAAGAAATAAGATTTCAGTGGATCTTTTTAAGTGTACCTGTAATACTCGAATATCCTCTCTTTCCCCCAGCAGGACCGATTCTCGCACTGAACGTGGTTTCGTTCGTGATCACGGCCACCGGCCACGGTTTGATGTCAGATGTGTCCGGTAGGTCATAGAGAGAATTCGTGCATTCGTGCACGTTTCTCGACGTAAAATCGATGCGAATGTCCTCTGTCGTCTTGTCGAAGCTGTGATGAGCGTTCGCCTCGCCTCTTAAATTTAACGGTCCGATCGCCGCGATCACGCTCGTCTCTGACTCCGGGATTATCCTATCCTTCTCCGGTTCGTTCGTTTGCAACGGTCTCATGTACGTAACTGGAATCACGAAATATATTTGCGATGATAGTCGTGGATAGAACAATCGTTAAAAGCAGTTTTTATCGGAGGCAACAAATCTTTGAAACATCAGTGATTTAAATGGATTTCGAGATGTATTCATTTATTGATTTTTATGTACGAATTAAGTATGTTCGAACAAGAATTATTTCTATCGCGAACTTTGATTTTTGAATAGAATACCTGTCGTTACGCCGTTCTTTCGTTCGCCATGCACGAGGGTGACGTCGTTTTTTCCACCGACTCGCATATCGGGACACACACCCTTTCTACCGTCGCATTGCGCGTAGTCTGACAGGTAGTAGTCCTCGGCGATGAATTTGCCGGTTCTGCTGTTGTAAGCAACCACGACCACATCGCTGCCGATCATCTCAGCCTTCCCCTCGCGTCCGGACAAACCGAACGCGACGTACTGGTCCTCGTTGATGCGTCCGGACACCCTAATCTGGATGTCCTCGCCTATCATTTCCCATTGGACCTGTACACGGCCCCCCAACATCTCCTTGCAATTGGTTAGCTCGTGTTTGGACAAAGGTGGTGACGGTGTACTGCTGGTCTGTAAAAAAAACCCGAGTGTTTTTGGTCCACACAGTTGTCAACTCATAGAATGTGTCAATAGTGGAATGATCGTTACTGACATGTATGATAATAATCTATCTGCTTAATATATACGCTCTACTTTACTTACAGGTTCGTACCACCAAGGCGGCTATCCCGATAAAAATACATTTCTGTTAATGAAACGTGCTCAGGCGAAAATCAACAAGCTTTTGACTCTATTTTTTGCTCTTTAATTTTCGTTATCAAATGTATGAAAACTACAGAATGAAATTTCGTTGCAGTGCTATTGGAAATAATCGGTTACCGTGATTTGGGTCTGGCCAAGCGCGGGGGGAACGTCGAGGTCCTTGGGAATCATAACGTGCCCGAAGTTGTGTTTATGTAGGACACACCAAACCGATAACCAGTCGATATCATATACGGTTAAGTTCCCCGGTAAAATGATCTCGATGTCTTCTCCCTGATAGCCCCTTAACGGCGATAATCTGTGTGGACAACATTCTCGTAGATCAAGATGCTTCGAATTGGGAGAGATTTTTTAATATTCGAAAGGACAAATTACGTTTTCTTCTCGTTTGGCACTTTAATACCGAACGGGTCCGGTTCCGAGCCGTTACCAACCCAGAAATAAGCATCCGGGCCGGCGCCATCGTAGTGTAAATTCGGAATGTAGATCGTTTTCTCGTCCAGGATGGTAATGTTCCCGCTGCGGAGACCGTGGGCCAGCCTCGAGAACTCCGGCAGCGTTCTTGTTTTGGGTACTTTCAGGTTTTCCGGAATATAAACATCACCGAAATTCACCTACAAATCATTATTAACATGGATAAATTATAGATACATATATGTATAAACGATTGTACCTAATTATTATGTAAGTTTTCTTATGATACAAAAGAAATGTAATTCCTCGAGTCTCATCATACTCCTAGCAAAAAGACATCATCCAGCTCTATTTCACGTAAGAACTAGACGAATCGATTCGATTTCGCCTTAAGAAAGCAAGAGATCCAGAGAGGGAGGCAAGGAGAGACAGGAACCGTCTCATCGACCTGTCTTTCAGCGACCGCATATTTACACCCTGCCAGTCGAAAAAGTCGATCTATCATTCCTTGCCCCTTGTTGAAGCTGACGTACCCGATAGAGGGTTGGTCCGGGGATCGTTTATATTCTAAGTTCCGTCAAACGTCTGAATAAGCGAAAGCCGCGAAGGGGATACGAGTGGAGTAACCGTAAAAAGTAAGAGAGAAAGAGGCAAAGAGAGAAAGGAACGTGAATGGAGAGGCGTAGGAATGAGAAAGAAAAGAAGGTAAGTAAGGAAAAATAAAATTCACGAGAAAGAGAGCGCAGGGACGTCGTAAAATCTGAGAAACGGATTCCACCCCGTATATACAGGGTGATCTACTCGCTTATCCTCGGGGGAACGTTTTATGGGAGGAAATTCAGTGCTCGTGACGATTTCTCAACTCATTCCGTAACCTTGGACAAATCTATTTCGCGTACGATACAATTTTATACACTTCTCCCCTTTTCACACCCTTTTTTATTCGCTGACTTTTTCTTATTTACGTCCCTTTTAAGTTACTTATCGAGTACGACCCTTAACGCTATCCTTCTTCTTTCACATGATTTAAAACCTTGTCCCATGAAAAATTTAAGTCTCTGAATTATGCTATACTGATAAAATGTTTCGTGCATAGTTAGCAAAAGTGAATAACGTTCGTCTTTTGGTTGTACGAATTAAAATTATTACCAATTTAATATAACACGGAGTGAAATATTTATTCATAGCAGTTTGTAATTTGTTTTTAACTGTCCACTGATTTCCTCGACACGGACCGATTATCGGCTGCTATTTTTCTATTGTCTTTTTTTATCGATTCCTCGAAAAGTGTGCCAAGAGTCGAAGATTGAAAAGTCGGTGAATATCTTCGACGTCTTTCGATATTCCGCTCAAGGCTACTGTATACGTGTCCTGATTCCGCCCCGTTTCGAGATGTTCTTGGAAAACCCGGTTCACCCAGACTTTTATCTACAGACGAATCGATACGTGCCGATACCTAGATACCTTGAACCGAGCGATATGAGTTTTCCATATCAGGGTCGCCCGATTCGTTAAATTATTTGCTTTTCCCTTTCGGGGCTATCTTTCCGAGTTTCGCGGCCACGAGATTTACCAGAGGGAGCAGTAGTCCGGTAAGCGCTATTCGTTTTATTGCTTCAAGAGTTCAATTGCTATTCGAATTTTTTTAATCGTAATAATTCATTTTTTTATTAAATATAGAAATGTATTAATTTAAAGTAAATGTTTGTCAACGTGGATTCGATGAGACAGGATCGATATAATAATTTTGCCGGCGAGGCGAGCCCGAAAGCAAACCCGCCGGAAGAAGTTCTTCATTAACCGAACCGGTCCGCTTCAAAGCGCCAGACGCTTTCAGAAATTAATCTTCCTCCCATCGATATACAATTCCTTTCGGGCATTCAACTGGCAAATTAACGGTGATTCTTTATTTTTTAACTTCGTCGTCGCGGCTAGGAAGAAAGTGAGAGGGAAATCAAATGTTTGGACGGGTCAATTAGGAATGACGGGATGCGACGGAGCTAAACAAACTTGTGAACTTTTCACTGTTATCTTATCTTCTATAACTACGTGAGCCATTACGGCTCTGGGATCTTTCCCCCGTTAATCCGCGAGTCCGCACTTCGCCGGGTCCCAATTCCGACGTTAATAGTAATGATTATCGAGCCGACGTTTGGTACCCTCCCCATGACGGGTGAGTTCGAAATTTGCACGCGCATTAATCCCATTTCGTTTAAGGGCTCGTCAATCATATCCACCCTCGACTGGTACGTGTACACATCCACATACATGCACGGTCAGACAGAGAGAGGGAGAGGAAACGAGAGAGAGACGGAGATGTTGGATACCAATGAACTAGGTCTCGAGCTTAATGGTGTTTTGAGTGGGCACGATCTGCTCAAAATTGGTCCTCGTGCGAGCACGCGAGTCGAGGGTCCGCCTCGACAGTTTCCGCACCGAAGCAAAATCTCTGTAGTTGAATCAACTGTCGATTAATTTTGTTATTTCCCGCAGTATTACAGAACTCACTGTTGATAATTCAAAGTCGTTAAATATGTATAAAGTATATCATCAACCGCTTCGTATTGAGATTTATTTTAATTAAAACATCCGAGAGGGAATCTTGAAATTATCAATGTACGTTGCGTAACACGTCTTTGGTCTTATACGTGGGTAGTATTGCGAGATTATTAAATTTGACAGCGCCCACTCGCCAACCTTTGATATTAAATACGCAAGGCTGTGCTTTCTCGCGATCGTTACCAATCCGACCCACGCGTTGCCTTTTCCGCAAAATGTAACGCTTTCTACCCCCGCGATAACCTCGCTCCGTTTAATTATTATTGAACTTCAGTGATATTATCCGTGAATGGAATACTTTTGCTGCAGATCATAAGTAGCAAGCGGATCCGTGAGCATATCATTCAGCTCTTGAATGTCTACTTTCATCCAAATATCGAAAATAGTCGAGGTCATATTTCAATGTTAATTACCGAACATATCGTCAACGTCTGATAATTGAGTTCAAAAACCAAAGAACTTTGTTCGATTGAAAATGTATATTGTTATTGTATACATATATTGTTTTCTACATGGCAATCTATTAGTAAAATAATGCAGAATCACAAGTATGAATAGAGCAAGAAGTGGCAAAAGGCAACTAACAATTTCTAAAGGCTTAGGCGAATACACAGCATTATCCCTACAAAATAGCGAATTCTTCTTAATCGTGCATTTCTAAATCGCATACAGAGGAGGAAGACACCAGCAGTTTATAAACCGAGATGCAGTGGTCACAAGGGTTCCTTCCCCGTCAGTACGATACCTTTGATCTGGTCGTTATAGACCGAGCTTCGTCAGGGGGTGCTGCAACCCCTAATAGACTGTTTATCTCGTAAGCCCGGATTTAGATTTGAATCGAGTTCTATTATGCGAGCGAATCTCCGCATACGCGTCGTGCACGCATCGGAGCGCAAATCTTTTTAAACGGAATGCCTCCCGCGTGACGCGTCCCTCGAGATAGTAAAGATGGCATCTAAAGATTTGATTACTGGGAGGATAAAAAATAGTGAATTGTTGACGAGTAAGTTTGTCGAGAAAGCAAAATAATTTCACCTCACTTTGAATGCAAAAATTGAGTTGAAAATCAGAACTGAGTTTAGAAAATAAATTTTTGATGGATTTCAGTAGGTTGTTGATAATTTTGGGGAAATTATTTAGGGAAAATGCGTGACGGGTGAGAGCAGGTCTCAGTTCGGTCGATCTGGATTAAGATCCATGACGTGCCAACCCACGGAGGACAATTTAGAGGGGTGGGTCCCTATGGACGGGTGCGATACGGCCGATGCTGATATAGGTACTCGTTATGGAGCAACTGGATTGGGTGCACGAGAGCAGTCGATATTCAATCAAATAAATCCCCCTAACAAACTGGAGAGTCAGAGATAGCATCAAGAAACAATTTCGGAGAAAGGGGAGGCCGATCAAAGACGGGCGAGTCCAACGGTTTACCGGGGAAACTGGAGAAGTACGACGTTCGCATTATTTTCCAAGATGAATCGCTTGTTGATGAACACAAATAATTTTACGACTTCCCTTAACCTGATGATACAAATTATTCTGAACGTGATAAATGAGTTAGCTTGAAAAATTTCCTCTTCAGAGCTTCGTTCCAAAATTATTTTTTATACTTCACGCTCTCTATACATTCTCTATGAATTCTTTCTCTCTATTGGCAAATACGTTCATCTTGTTATTCCCTGTTTGCCGATTATTTTGATCCCTCAGCGACCATTCCTGCACGGGACTCTAATGATCACAGAAGAACGGGCGATTCGTCCGGATTCAGGGGATCCCGATCGGGTCACGAGCTGTATATTATTTTAGCACCTTATCAGGCCCATATCATCCCCAGTCAGGCGGACTCTCGTTCCCCTTCGGGAAAGGGTGGTTGACCCCCGTTGCGAGGCGCACGTTCTTACGGAAATTGAGACATCGAGCCTCGTTAGGCTCGATAGCAACGCCCCTTATATTCCCGTTTAGTGTTCTCCATCGAACGAGAGCAAACGCGCATTGTGTTGCAGGTTATTGCTGCCGGGACACCGGCTCCGATCTCCTTTGATTATCGTTCTACGTTGTTCCTAACGGACGATTAAATTGATAATGCAGTCAGAGCACTATCTTAACATTAACTAGTTAAAGTAGATGATCTCACATTGTTGGGTAGTGTCTTGTTTAATCATTTAAGGCACGGTTTCTTGACATCTTACCGTTGTTTGCGTTATATGATATTTTTCTTTAAGACCATTCGGGAAAAACGTCTAGCTTTTATAATTATACGTACTGTGGATGTAGGATAGGAAGTATTTGTACATTTTTTAAGGCAGAATAACTTTTTCAATATTGGTCTAGAGGGATTAGTTTACTACATGATGTGTGCAAAAAATTACAGTTGATGGAAATCACAAGTAGAAGTAAAAGTCGTTCTTTTTTAACTTTCTTACCTGAATCTATAATAAAAATCTGTAGAGCATATTTTGAAGATCCACTAAGTCACTATACTTGAACTTCTGTTAAAACCTCTATTGTTCGAATACTCTAACTGTATATCTCATAGTGTTTAAAAGTAAAATTCAATGATTTGAGGAAAAGTTATTGAAAATTACTCAAACAAACGTATGGTAAGCTATAAAGTAGTTCTCTTCACTAATTTCGATGATCT